GATCAGAATCTTTTTCACTTTGATAAGATACACCTCTTGATCTAGAAAAAGAAATTGAGTTATTAAAAAATAATAAATATTCTATCTAACCAAAGTGAGATTTAAGAGATGCAAGGAATTTTTCTACCTTTTGTAATTCTATCTTCTTTTCTTCAATCTCATATTGCAATTCTTATTAGTTTTAACTTGCTCCTTATATCTTATAGTAATTTTTCTTATAAATTTGCCAAAAGTAATTTTATTATATTCCAGTAATCGCTGAAATAAAATATTGATCTCTTTCTTAACCCAGCGATTGATCTTCTCCTCATGATTGCATATATAAATCAAGGTAATAGTATCTTGAATTTGTGATTCTTGGTTAATTATGTCTATATTATTGGATAAATTTTCAAGTGGTAATGAATTTTGACACTGGCATTTATTTTTTCTATTATATAATAATTTCATGTTGCAAAAAATCTTTAATACCTGAATCTATATCACATGTCTCCATTTCTGTAAAAGGATTGCATTTTCTTATAGTAAGACATCTCCATGACTCTTCTACTAATGAGAAAGATAATTATCTTATTAACTCTGAATATGCTTGATTGAATTTTATTTTGATATATCCCATTAAAAATTCTGTCAAATTTTATAAAATCGTGAAAAAGTTTGTAATTTAAAACAAAAAAAAAAATGTTATCAGCTCTTAAGGATAACGAAATAAAGTCTAAAGTACTAGCTCAAGAAATACTTTAGGTGATTTTATTTTAAATAGATATATATATAAATAAGTTATATAATAAATAGATATCCTGTTTTGCAGACTGAAGATTGTGAAACATTAGTAATACTTTTTTTTTTCTGCTCTAACTTCGTAATTCTGGCTTCATGCTCTTCTATATCCTAATTTAGCATTCTCGTTTCTAAATTCAATATTCTCAGCCAAAAGCCTGACATTCTCTTGTTTTAATAGATCTAGTTCAGATTTGGTATTTCCCATTGTTTTATATAATATACGGAATTATTTAAATTTTGAAAAAAATCATGTGACATCCTGATCAATGATCAGGAACTTGTAGATCACTTTTGCCAAGAAAAATATATAATAGTATCACATACATGTTAAAGATAAACATGATGTAAGTGCCATTTATTAATATTCGTATTAATCAAAGAATAAAAATTTCAAATCTCGTCTACATACATATATAACAATAAAATATTATACTATGTTTCTGAAAAGCTGTTCTGTGATTTCCTCAAAGATGACATGTGCTACATCAAGGAATTCACGAACTTTTCTCGAGTGATTGGGAATTCCAGGACTACCTCGAATATAGACAATACGAAATCCAGACACACGTGTGCCATTTCTGGTAACAACAAATCTATTTTGTGGATCTATTATAGCAGAATGACCAGGACCATACATCTCATCCAAATACATCTCGATCTGGTTTCTTCCATTAATTTGCGTTTGAGAGATACCAGCTTGTGCGGACATTGTTTCAAATGCTTTCCTGATGTTCGTTGATGGTTTGCTGTTGTGTGTTACGAAGTCACTGACAGATACCTGTATGAATATAGGTCCGAGCATGTAATCGAATAGGGGGTACCTATCAAAGCCACGACCTAAGACTTTATCGTTACCAGGTCCAAGGGATAATTGGGAATTTTTAATCAAATCATAGTCATTAAACTGAAGTGTAATAACATTTCTATTATTATTATCGAGATCAGTTGTCTTGAGTTGTATTGTTGTGTTACATTTGCATACAAGTCGATTGAATAAGGTTTCCTCAAATTGCTCTCCAGTTAGACTTCCTATACGGAGTCGATTTTTTATATTTTCAGGTAGGTCAAATGACATGTACATTTTTAATAAGGCTTTCTGAGCAGATGGGCATAGAGGGAGGTAATGAGTAATCCCTTCCTTGAACCGATAAACTAACCCAAGATCTAAGAACTTCCATTCAAACTGCACAACGGGTTTACTGGGAAGAAACATGCTTGTGAGAGCATCATAGTAGCGAGTTTTTTCAGTTTTCGGGAGATCATTATAATATTTTTGAGCAATAGTCAGAATCTTGTCGACCCGTTCAATCTCAAAATCTTTTAATACTTGTTGAAACCAGTTTACATTGGTAATAGTGATATTGAGTTTTTTGATATATTCAACTAGGTATATGAGTTCACGTGGCACATAATTCGTAACCTTTTTTGCTTCTTCTTTGATGCCTTGTATCCTCAGAACGGGGTGCAACTGTAACAAAATATCAAATACATTGCTCTGTAGTGGACCAACATAGATCACCCAAAACTCATATTGACCATTTTTCATGTATTCCCTCTCATATCTAGCATGTGCAGTCCCCGTAAAGATTACACGTGCAAATTTGTAATGTTCTCCCCAAAAATTAAGGTTCATCAGAGGACTTAACAAGTGAATTCTTAAAGGTACTGGATCTTTTTCAAATAATATACCATGTTCGTCAACAATTAATAGAGCTTTGCGATCTGTTGATTTGATTAAGCCTAGAATTCCTTCAGCGACGGTAACCATAACCTGTTGAGGATTACGATCACTAGCAAATCGCACAATCTTCTTAAGCTCGGCGGCAGTCAAAATATCTTTATTAAGTGCCAGGAAGTATTCGCAAATCACCTCTCCTGCTGTCTCTGATGATTCTACATTAAGATCAGATGCATCTGCGATGTAGAGAACCGGCCATTCTTCAGCATAAGCTTTAGATGCAAGGAAGTAGGAAATATATGATTTGCCCACGCCCATTGGGCCTGAAAGAACACGCTTGATTGAATGGTCACTATCTGCTGAAATCTTGTCCCATATGTCAATCATCTGCCCAGTAACAAGCAATGTCCTTCCTTGATAACCTTCAGCGAAGTGTTTAGGTTCCTGGCCAAGATGTGGTAGGGTAATTGATTGGCCAACATGAAGGTTCCGGAAGGCAGTTTTAAAATTAATGCGCAGATCAGGTACGGATTTGTTACTTTCAAGCATGTCAATTATTTGGGATGGCAATTCTACGGAGTGACCATCAGAGGCGGTGTATGACTTCCAACCCTGTTCTATTCGACGTTTCTTTATAGGATACTCTACAAAGCTCAGTAGGAAGGAAAGAAGTATAAATCAATACTTGATAAATATATCACAACGCAAACATAACAGCTATCAAAAAGGTATCGCGTTCACTCGCGTTGACTAATTTATTACGATTCACTTACCAGCAACGGGAACTTCGACAACAACTCGAATATTACTTCCTCCAACGTTATTAAATGTGTCTCCAACCGTATTAGTTGGTTCTTCTAATTTGTCGTTTAAATAAATCTCAATAGGAGTGTCCTTATTCCTAAGTATACTCGAAGCAACGTTGACCCTCCACAGAATTAGTTCGTCGGGATCAACATTAGCAAAATAAATTGGTTTCTCCTCCTTGATAACTTTTCTAAGGTCGATAAGATCGTTAGCCTCTCCAATAGTAATTTTGAAAACGGAACGATTTTCACGAACGATACACCAAATATTAATAGGCGTTCCAGCATTAGACATTTTGTATTACAACGGATGGATAAATGGAAGATATATAAGGGGTAATGGTCGTACAGATTGATAATTGATATATTTCGAAGTCACATGATTCTGAACGTTACCAATGGTAACGGTTTTTTGCAAATGGACGAAACTTTATTGACGGTTTTAACTAATCAGAAAATGCTAGAGAAGCAAATGAAATGTATGATGCTATCAAAGAGGGAGGGAGTACGCGGATCCTAGGCCATTTAATGCGAGTCCCAGCATCAAGTTATTTCTTTGCTCTTTCAGATTTCTTGTAAATTTCTATACTATTTTTTTTGTTCCTATCACTAATGCTAATTACGAGATTTTCGCACCAATACTCTTTTTCTACACTAGATTTCAGAAATAAATTATCCCACACATATCTACAGAATTTTCGTCTATCTATATCACTCCCACCCGCACAGATTATCTATTAAGAATTCGGCACGTGAAGATGCTTTTTATTGTGCTGATGATCTTGATTAGATAAGATAATATTTCATCACGTGAATTTATTTTTGTGATACTGCGTCCATGATACGCGTGATGATTGTCAAAGATTTTTCTCGGCGAAGATCAAAATGCCGATGTATAACAAGAAGAGTAATATATCCGGCTTGTTTTGGAACATCTATAGAGGAGGGAAAATCGATTAGCATCTTGATGGCATGTTTCAAGAAGCTAACCCGAACAATAAACCAGCCTACCTTATTATTATGCAGAATATACGAGTTCGTTTGGTTGTAAATATCGATGATGCAAATAATGGTAGGTTTGAAATTTTCGTTTGATTTTTTGCTTGATTTTTGCTTATATTTGCACAAGGCGAATAAAAAGATTCACTAACCGGGTGTCACCTTTTTATATAATTTGCAGGATCGATTTTGGTATACGCTTTTGGGGGAATTACGTTAATATGATCGCATCACGAAAATCTGATCAACGGCTCCTCCTTAATTTAACAATAAAAAGAATTTAACGCTATCCCGATGAAGTTGTGATCCCCTATAATCCTGACTCGACAAAGGGGTTTTATTATATAAAATTCATTGAGTACATGATGACGAACTATATAATTGGTACCGAAAGAATGGTACTGCGCATTTTAAATTCTGAATCGATAACTTCGTTGTAATGAAACTTGATCGAGAAATATTAGCATACACGCTCACTTCGCATCCTATGTAAAAAATCACGCTAAAGCGTTATTGCTTTATTATTTGTATAAAAATAAAATTATGTATTACAATAAATCTCATATTTTCTTTTTTATGGTTTTTATTACATATGGAACATATCTCTGAACAAGTAAAGTAATCACTATATTCAGTTTGAGCAAAGAGAAAAAATATAACGATTTATGAATAGCTACGCATATAATCGATTTTATTGCACATGATGCTAAGTCATTATATAAAGATTTATAAGGTTAATCAAGATTAAAGATTTTTCTATCAATAAGCTCTCTAAATTTATATATCTTCTTAGGAATAGTGACTTCTGGATTCTCATCATACCATACCTCAAGAAGATAAATCCCGTTAAGTTGACACAAGATTCTTTTCTTTCGATCACGGTTAACAATATCCTCGAGTTTTTTAACATCTTTATACCAGCTGGTGTTATGGAGCCGATGTTGAGCCCCTTGAACCTCTAACGCAATTCTATTGCTTCGGAAGAAGGCATCAAGTTCTAATCCTTCCATAAAAGATGGCCGATATTCAACCACGGGTTCCTCATTAAGAAGTATCTGGGCTATTAGAATACATTTTCCTGAAATTTACGATTTTTCTTAGATTCTAATTCTTTTTTAAGTTCATCTATATCCTGTTCTAATTTCACAACTCTAGCTCTAAGTTCAGTGTTCTCGGCAACAGTATCTGTCCTATTTTTCTCCAACTCATCGATTCTACTCTTGAGTTTGGTGTTCTCTTCCATAGCCTGTCTTCCGTATTTTTTATGTAAAGCATAGATCTATTCAAATTTCGATTTATGAGTTAGACACAGATATCCATGCAATAAAGTATATATAGATATCGCCATATAATCTTTTTATTATTCCAATGTATATTATACACCCACATTCATGCATACACGAGTTAAAAAACACAAGCCTTAAACGCGGACAAACTTCGAAAACTTAAAAAAACAACCATGACTATACATAAGTACATTATCAGTTTCCTGTAATCTCAGCATCGCATTTTTTATCAACCGTGATTGAACAGCGATTAAACTGTGATCGCATAGTCGAGATGCGGATATGTTTACACGACAATCTTTATTTAACCAGATATATTTACATTTTAAAACTGATATAACTCATGATAATTTCTGCTATATAATTACAACCCATCTGGAAGAGGATCCTCGGCCTTTAAACCCCATCGTGCTCGTCTCAAGTCTAAAGAAAAATAATCGATTTTATCGGACAAAGTCCGTGCACACTGCATTAATATCGTTTTTATCTCAGGTATACGTCAACATCGCGTAGTGAAATACCTACCATATGTCCTCTCCTACAATCGGTGGATGACAGTGGAACTCGAATCTGATTGGCTTTCGGTTTGTCGAGTCTAACCTG